CCGAAATCTGGGAGTTTAATAATACAGGTTTTTCTCAATTATATGAACAATAAGAAAAGGTGAAAATCCAGAACTAACATTACCTCTTTCGCCGAAGATGCTAAACCCCTCATTGCCGACGTGGCGGGGCGGATCCTCTGCCCCAAAATCTGAACCATCACAAAGATTAGGCAGTAAATCACATAATAATAAATTAATCAAGTGTTTTATATAATTAAAGTTCATCAATTGCAGAAGTACAGGGTGTACCATAGCTGATGAGCTTCCAGCTCCCACTTTTTGCCTTAAAATTCCCAACATCTTTGATTCTTTCACACAAAATTACACTGAACGCGAAAATAATCGAAAAAAAAAAACCCGATTTAAGAACTGAAAATTTCAGTGAAAGCATTGAGAGGGATGAGGCGAAATAACAAATGATTTACTGGAATTATAGAAATAAAAAATCAGATCAAAATTCGGACAGAAATGAATAATGGGGATTAGGGATTTGGGAGAAAGGCGAACCTGTTTGGCGGATTGGAGCGGGGATCGGATCGACGATGCGATGTGTAAAAAATGAGCGTCGGGGGAGCGGAGCAGCAGCAGCCAACACTTTCCTTCAATCGCTTAATACTATTCAATATTTTCGACTTTTTATTTCCTTTGTGGCTGGTTGTCCCTCTTAATTTATTTTTTTTTTATTTTATTTTTTTTACCAAACCAGCCACTCAAATGGAAAAATATTGAATAGTATTAAGCAATTTTGTTGTCCTTCATTCCATTTCACTGATTTGTGGCTGGTTTGGTTAAAAAAAATATTATGAGAGACAACCAGCCACAAATGTAAAAATTAAATAACACAATTTATCTTGATTTTCCTTGCTGGCATCAAAATTAATTACCAAAGGTAAAAGCGTAATTGTGTAGGAATATAGGGTTATAAATGAACGACAATCTTCGTTGGCTGTTTGAAACCGGACACGTGGAGGCGCAGACAGCCGTGAAAAGCACAGGGAGTGCTTTCAAATTGATCGTTAATGTCAGCTAGCAGCGGTACACATGCCAACAGGATCCTCCAGGTTTTGGAAATTCGTAAATCATGTACGTTTATCGTACATTATATAATCAGTTTTTATCAGCTATTATTTATGTTTAATTTTAATAAATATATTTAAAATAACTTTTAACTTATGATGTATGATGAACGAACACAATTTACAAATTTTCAGAATCTCACAAGAAGATCCAGATTCGTACACATGCATGTTGTACATCTGTACACATCCGTGCAAAGTGCACAATTCAAATTTTTCAAAAATTAATAAAAAGAGAAAATATAAAATTGTTGTTAAAATTGTTGGTGACGACCTTCAGTTTTCGTTGCTGATTATATCTTTAGCCATTATTTTCAAAATAAATTATAGTAATGGTCATTCAATTTTAATCAAATTTGAGTAATGATCTCTTAATTAAAAATTTATTATCATTGGTCTCTTAACTTATCAAAATGTGTAGTTATAGTCATTTTCGTCAACTTCGTCGAAATTTTATGTTGGAATAACTATTGCTACAATTGGGGCCCCTCAACTCATCAAAAGGTGTAGCTATGATCATTTTCCTCAACTTCGTCCAAATTTTGTCAAAATGAGTTATGTTGGAATGACCATTGCTACAATCAGGGTCCCTCAACTCATAAGGGGTGTGCTATCCACACACCTCATTTTACTTCTCACACACCCCTTGATAAATTCTGTTCATTGATCTTCTTCAATTCATCTTATCGGACAGCCAAAAATTAAAAAGGTGTGTGAGAAGTAAAATGGGGTGTGTGGATATTACACCCCACTCATAAAACATGTAGATATGATCATTTTCGTCAACTTTGTCAGAATTTTGTTAAAATGAGTTATGTTGGAATGATCATTACTACAATTGGATTAAAACTTGAGGGATCATTGCTCCAATTAAGTTAAAATTTAAGGGATCATTTCTCTAGTTGAATTAAAGTTGAGGGACCATTGCTCAAATTGGGTTAAAACTTCAGGGACAATTTCTCTAATTGAATTAAAGTTGAAGGACTAATGGTAATTGATTTTTAGTTGAGGGACCATAGCTACACGTTTTAATGAGTTGAGAGACCAATGGTAATGAATTTTTAGTCAATAGATCATTACTCCAATTAAGTTAAAATTACGGAACCATTACTACAATTCACTCTTATTTCTAAGTAACTATTGCTGGAGAATGAGTTGTGACAACTTAAATATATGAGACGTACTTGTATTAAAGAGGTCATTAACAATATGATCAATAAAAGTGATTCAAGTAAGCAACATTCAAATAAATATAACGTACATATCCATTTAGTCTGTTTTTTTTTTTTAACAAACGATATTATCTAAACTAAGTGGATGAGATGAGTTTAGCCTCACAATGAGTTAACAATAATGTGGTTTAAATGTGTCTTTGTCAATAATCGAGCGCAAGACCTCTCACTTATAAGCGAAAATTCTATTTGAAGAAAATATCTTGATGGTCGTACAATGTTGATTGAAAAATGTACACTGTTTCCTAAAAAAGAAAGAAATTGTTATCAACACTTCTAAAATCTCATTTGGCTCTCCAAATTTTCTATAATTAGAAAGAAAAATACATTTGTGAGGAGTGTAGAATGAGATTTTTTGAATGCTATTAACAATTACAAAAAAGAAAGGGACAAATTAATATTTACAATTATAGGGGCATGGGGTAGGCTGAGTTCTTCTCCTAAAGGAAAATGAAGGAAGGTAGGTAGGAACCGTAGGGTGGTGACAACGTGGATTCAACGACCAAGGGAAGCAACTGTTCTATTAATAATACTTGTAAATAAATAAAAACTTTTTAGCCAAATTGATCTATAAAATTTACATAATTTCTCATTTTAGTCTTTGAGATTTAAAATTAATATAAGTGGTTTATGAACTTGTCAACCGTCAATCATTTTGATTATTCAGTGAAAATCTCCGTTAAATAAGGACCTAAACGACAAAAATGCCCTCATATTTTGTCAAACGATTTTGGCCTATTGTTTATTAAATTGAGAGTATTTTTGTCATTTTGGTATTCATTAAAGAAATATTTTTTTACGGAATGACTAAAATGATTGATAATGCACAAACTTAAGAACCGTTTTTATTTCAAATCTCATAAACCAAAGTGATGAACTATGTCATTCTCATACACCGTTTTAGCTAAAATATAAATTAATAAAAAAAAAATCAAAGAGTTGTTTTGTGGCCATCCAAAGTGGAGCGAATCTTTGTCTTCTTACCCCAACTTCACCTAACTGCTGTTTGTTTGACTCTAAATAAACTCGAACGGAAGTCCAATTTTGACTTGCACAACTCAAAGATATTTAGTTTAATTTCCAATTAGACATATGAGGAAAGTATGTTGATAAAAATGTGGCCCCTTCTATCCTGAAAATTAAATGAAGACATATTAGAGTCTAAAAATCCTCCACGTAAATCGGTCGACCTACACCACAAGGACAAGAACTCTAGAAGATATGAATACCAAACTCCGAATTTGGAACAAACATGTTTTTCATTTTGGTATATGAGACGCGCTAGATCTCAAGATTAAAACAAAACATAAATGAATTTAGGTTTGGGAACCAACACAATATCTTTTTGCATCAGCTGATCCCCGCCGCAAGAATGGCTCTCAAAGGGCGAAGCCACACTATGGTTGGAGTCAATTGTAGCCAACCCTTATAGGCATTCATAGCTCCGCGGTTGATTGCAATTGCAAATATTTTACATGAGAGTTTCTTTGAGGAAGGGAAAATCACATATATAAGGACTTGTTTGACATTTTTTGCTTTAATCTTTTATAATGATATCAAACAATGAAAATTAAATACTAATGAGTAAAAACGAAATGTTTATCGACCGAACATTGAATTAAACTTAGGGAACTTTAACGAAAAGCACATGGTATTGTTCACTGTAACGAAAAACCACATTTTTACACTAAAAAGTCAATCCTGGTACTATTCATTTTACCCTTTATTTTGTCCTTATCATTAAAACTTAAAGTTTTCAAGCCTTTTTCATTAGTTTTCCTTTAAACTTATTCACGAGTATAATCAAACTCAAGTCAGAGCCCATAACATTTATGAAATGAAGCCACAGGCCCATGACCCAAGAGCCCGGTGAGTCAGCTGTTAACAATCGTCAAACAATTACTTATTTAGTAATTAGGGAATATATTTTCAACTCGACGGTTTGGCCGAGTGGTCTAAGGCGCCAGATTTAGGCTCTGGTCCGAAAGGGCGTGGGTTCAAATCCCACAGCCGTCAATATGTTTTTTATTATTTTTTGTATAACCATAGACTTTTATGCTGATTCTAACTCACCACTCTATTTTTTATCACCATTTAAGCTAATCGCAAGAGCTTAGCAAACAATCACTCTCAGCTAAAGAAAATACATCACCATACAACTTTTAGCACTACTAGTTTTGGATGGAATGATGAAGTGGGACATTTTAAGTTCAAATTACCTTTCAGTAAAAAATGACGCTAACAAACCTAGTTGAATCTAATTAAGAAAGAACAATTTATAGTTAAACGATGTAAAACAAATTTCTTTCTTTATTTTTCTTTGACATGAACAAAAAAATTTCTAATTAAATGGGCTAATGTGATATTTCGTTAGTGATTATGTCACATGAATCATAATTTCATATTTTTGTGGAAAAATAAATTTCACACACCATTTTTATTCTTTGTTAATTCTAGCATTTTGGTATAAGAAATAAAAAATAATCATAACATATAAATAAATATGCGTGTGTAGAAAACGAAAAGAGATGTATGTAAATCATATTTCTGAGTATTTTAAAAGATCAGAGCCCTAGTTGGGATCCAACCTAAATGGGCCAGATTGAACCATATTGAGCCCAATATCCGAAAGAGTAAGTAAGCCCAAATATTGTTTCGAAAGTGTAATGGATCAACGAATCCAAGAGGAGATCCAAAACAGAGTGCAAAAAGAAGGGGAGGAGAGAGAGAGAGAGAGAGGAGAGAGAGATGGCGGGTGCGTTTTGGGGGACGCGAGTGCTGGAGATAGTGAAGAAGCACGACTCCGGCGGTCTTGTTTGGAAGAGAATAAAGCTGACCACCACCCGTAAAGCCAACGCCAAGAAGCGCCTCCTCCGCGTTTGGCAGGTTCTCTTCTCCCTTCTTACTGTTCCATATCATTTCTGATCTGTCAGCCTCTGATTAGGGTTTTAGGGTTTAGGGTTTTACTGAATACTTGAGATTTTGGAGCTATTACTTGCTTGCAATCGGATTATTTGATGTGTAAAGTTATGTGGCGTGTAAATAGTAGTGCATAAACCTCAGCATTTGGTGAAGGGCTGTTGATTTTAGACATGTGAAAACTGAGAAATTCCCTTTTGGGTTTTCTAAATCATTAGTTTCAACATAAAAATAAGAGGAAGGGATTGAGTATTGGATTCATTGGAGTAGTGGTATCCTTTCATATTATTCATGTAATCGTAATTTCTGGTAGATTAACCGGGTGTAATAGATGAAATTCCCTATGAAGGAAACTGTGTGATGTATATGCAAAAGCTTGTTTGTTCGAGTCATTGAGCTTAAACATGATTATCATCTAATGTGATCCCCCTAATACCAGACTGATTGTTTTTCCTTGGAATTCTATTTTCTTCAATCATCTTTGGGACCCTAATTATCAATCATTGATTCAGTCTAATTCCATTGTGGCGTTTTTGGAGGTACCGAGGACTTATGCTACATTAGTAAGACATGCTTTACAAAACATTATATAGAGGGATTTTAAATGACTAGATGCAGGATTTATATATGCTTACTTGAAAGGAGTCATTTGAAAGTTCTTTGTTTAGCGGCTTTGAAATGATCATGTAGTGCATTTCAAACCCTCTATCTAATAATTTGTTGTGCATTTCTTACTAACATAGCTTAAATTCCATGGCACTTGGAAATCCCTCATCCAGACACACCATTGTAGTTTTTTCGGGTTATATAATATTTATTCAATGAAAAATGTCAAGTGCAGGTTTTGGCTGCCTGTGGAGTCTATTCGGTACCATATGGGTCTTTTCACCTCTTATAGAATCGTACCCATTTCAGTCATAGTCTACTTGCATGGTCTAATCCATGTGCTTATGCCTTTACCATCTCCCTCTAGTATCTGCTTCTGTTTACAAGAACATCAGGTTGTGGGTTGTTCCATGAAGAGCTACTTCGTATATATACATCTAGATGAAAGCACCACTAGAATATTGATATTGCAATGTACTTATGGAGTGTGTCTGATACTTGTACACTCAAAATTCTGTGTTGGGATTAATGTTGTGTCACAAAATTGGGTGATCTTCTGTTAGACTAGACTGATATTGAACTTCTGGAAATGCCACTTTCCTTGCAGAATGAAGCTGTCCTGAGGGCATGTGCAGAAACACCTTCACAGTCATCTGGTGCTGCTACTGTTGGAGTGTCTGAGAAAGAAAACACAGGTAGCCAATAATGTGAGTAAGGAAGCTAGGCAAACCTGGATGCATTAGTTCAGGAATAGCAATGCTATAAATGTCAACTATTTGTTATAATCTTCGACTGAATGCTATCCTGAACTTCCATTTTGATCTTTCTATTTCTAGAGTTGAGCATTAAAGTCCTGGACTGAAAACGATTGTGGTCTTGTATAACATGGATAACTCCGATGATCAATAAGACTATTCTGTATTGCTTGTTGTCAATGTGTATCTCCAATATGAACCTTATTGGTTTATGGTAGCTGTATTGCCTGGTAAGACTGTGTCTCTAAGCACATCATTCAGTAGTCAATGCCAAAACTAAACTAGCCGTAAGCTGAGATTGGCTGTCGGATTTCAGGACATCTTAAGTTATTTTACTTTTAAAACTCACGAAATGACTATTCTTTATGGAGGAAATATCTCTAGGCCTACTGTAATGTTTACTTCTAAATTGTTTGAAGAATTAGGAATTTTATAGTCGAACAGTATCCTTTAGTGAAATTGCATCAGCAAGTTATCATTGCTAATGAAAAGTCCGACCTTGGTTTGTAGGGCTGATGGAATTAGGTTATCTTTTAGGGAGGGAATCTTTGCACTCCCAAACATGGGATAATACTGAGCTTTGTCATAGGATGTTGTGTGGTCCATGTTTTTGTGTATAAGCTAACTGATATGCCTACTGATGAAATGTGGACACAAAAAACGCCGAAAGACGGGTTGAAAAATCCTTCACGTTCCCAACCCCTTCTGTACTGTCTAGTACCCTTCAACATCGGAAAACTTAATTAAATTAGTTCATTTTTCGTTGTCTGCATATGTCGCTATTAACTCATAGAATATGACCAGAGATGCTTGAGGCCATTCATTGGTGATGAGTTTATGGTTTTCACACGCAACCGTATATGATTCCATTACATGAGCTTGATGCTCCTCCATGGAAGATCTTATGTGTGTTCAATATCATATGTACGTCTTTGTCTTTTATTTATACAAGATTCATGCAGCAGGGAAATCTAAGATATTTGACAAGTTAGTGCATCTTTGGATGTTGAAATGTCTCACTTTCTGCTTGCCAAAAAGATGGAAAATTGATCATCTTCTAGTACAGGGAAGAAAAGGTGAGAAACTAATTGGTCATCATGGGGGTTGTTGCCGTCCCTTGTTTCCTGTCAAGGAGCTCATCACCTCTAAATCCTTTAATTCTTTAGGAAAGAAATCATTTCCGCTCGTCCGGGTTTTTCTTCTGCACACTTATGTTTATTTTTGCTTTTAACGCAAGTGTGCAACGGAGGCATGTGGAGAAGTTACTTCTCCTGGAATAAGCTCAAGAGAGAAGCTTTAGTAGGGCTGCTCCCTTAAGGTGGATTGGCATAGAGTTGATTGGGACAAAAAAAGCCTAACCTTTTTTGAGACCCACTCGAGTTTTTTACCCTCTTGAGTATGAGAGATTTTTTTAATGTGTCAGAAATACGGTTTGATACACCAAGTACTATAATATTGATGCTTGGATGCTTTAAAACAAAATTCTAACTACTTATCTTATGACAATGAATATGCCGGATCGTGTTTTCGACACACTGAAAAATTCCTCGAAGGAAACACAAATATCATTGACCCCCATTTAATTCAATTAGGCCACATAATTGACATCTTTGTGCAACAGTTGGTATTAGCTTTTAAAATCTGTTTGAGGGGTTAGCTGTGGCAAATAGCTGCCGTGTGGGGAGGTATTTCCTTCTGCCATAGGGCACCTACCCACTTACCGAATGCCTCATTTAAATATACCAACAAAAAAAGTATCCAACCCTCCCTCTTGAGATTCTCAAACATTGGATTCCTTTTAGCTGTGCAGTTTTGGTTCCATCTCTACTTCCCTTTGTCACAATTTGGGTAGGGACATATTAGTCCTAGTCCTTTGCCTAATTGACAAACTGTCTCTGTAGTTTACTCCATCTTTCTTTTGAACCCTTTAATTTATTACACTTGTATAGTTTTGTTACGGGTGGATTATCCCGTCGTTCGTTATAAAACGAGCGTAAGCCTTATGCTTCCCGTCATCCTATTCATGTAAGTTAAGTTGAGGTTTACAATAATTAAGATTCACTGTACATAACCATCTTGCTCCTTTGGCATGGAGTTTTAGGGAGAACCTTCATTAGCAATGGGAGGTCCACCCTCATTAATTTTAATGTTGGAGATTATTATTTTGATCAGTGTTTGATTTGACCGTGCCATTACAACTGGTTTAAAAATTGGAGATGTCCCTGTTGCATAGATCCTAAGCAACCCTTCTTAAAACTTAATTTTCTCAACCCAAAAAAAAAAAAAAAAATAATATATAAAAATGGTTGGTTGTGGAACTGATCAACATACACAAATTGATAAAATACATTCCCTGTCTGCCTGGTAATGTTTTTGAAAATGTCAGAATTGCCCTTCCTTTGAGAGACGATAGAGACCCCAAACTACCCCTCACTCACCCCCTCGACGACAAAAGATCAACTTTCATGACATGACATACCGTCGTTGTATTACTTTGTATCAATAATATAAAATTATATAAAGAAAGTTGCCGAAAAACGGATTATTGTAATGAAACAATATAAAAGAATCTCTTCTCGAAACGTATTATTGACACGAAATACTAGTATGGATAAGTCCCCGCCATAGACGTCCTTATGCAACGGGGGCAAGTGTGTTTCTTTCTGTGATTGACCTAATCAGTTTGTAGCTGTTGTGTGTGGTCTACCACGACGGGCTGCCCACGTGATTGACAATTTGAGAACCCAAGTCAGCAATCCACAATCCAATCCAATCCTCTCTCTCACATACACACAATTTTTATTTTTATTTAATTATTTTTTGTGTGATGAAAATGAAAAGGTGACGTGAAGAACTCCAAAAGCAAACCAGTGTCAAAGAAACATTGGCCGGCACGTATTTTTATTTATTTATTTTCCTAAAATATATTTAATTTTGTAGGTTCTTCCCCTCTGTTTATGGCATAGCAAATTGGCAAATTGCCCTCTCAATTATGCATTAATCAGAGGAGAAAGCATAGCGAAACTCTCTCAAAGTTTGATTTTCTATGAATTCTTTATCATATTATATTTTTTGCTTAATATATTCTATAATGTTAGTTCGAAAATTAATATTAAACGGTAAGATGACAAATAATACTACAAAAGATTTCACTTTTGAAAAAGTTTCCCTAATATTTTTGGGGAGTGATAATCAAAGGTTTAATCATATTATTATGCCGTCCTTTGTCCACTTGATATCCACTTGGCACTCGATGATGGGGTTGCGGCCCATCGTCCTCAAACCTATCCAACCTATGATAACATCATCATCCATGCCTCATGTTTGTATAGGACAACAACCAACCTTGTAGGTTTTGTCCCATCATTTTTTTACAATTTTTTTCTCTTATTCTTAGAATTAATCATGTTTATAAATTGACCTTTCAACTTCAATGAAAGAAGCTAAATTCGAAGAGTTAAAAGCTCGTTTTAGATCCCTCTTTGTATTTTCAAATAGAAAATTAGATGCGTAAGGGGTTTATACTTCTAGATGATTCCTAAATTAAGAATTTTTAATAACTTTGGTTAGATATTGTATTTACGCTCCACTTCTTCCTCTTAGTACAACATAACAGTTTAAAAGAGTTTTGATAGTGACATGACTCTTTCTTGAAGACGTTGTAAATTGTAATTATTAGCCAGAGTGAAAACTGCCGCGTGGTTAAGAAGTTACAACATTTCAAATATGAACTTGCTAATCTATGAGTGTACCATGAAGTTATAAAAGTTGTACCTATGAACCAATCCCATAAAACGAAATAGGCACAGGAAAAGAGTACGAGCCGAAACCAACCTGCAAAAACGAAGTGGTCCCTCCATAACCAATCATCCATAATATCAAATAAATCATTTTCGTCTTTGGTAAATTACAAAGAGCTATAGTATTAATGACCTCCTAATTCAACTACTTCAACCATTTCGAACACCTCACAACATTTTTCAAACGTTTGAGGCTATACCTTTGTATGAGGTATATTATAAAAAATATTTCAAGCACAAATTTCTTTTTTCAACAATTAAGACGATATGCTCCATCTATTATATTAGTTGATTCTTAGTGTAAAAAATTGTGTAAAAAAATAATGTCACAGATCTATCATCTAAATTTTTTATTTTTTACTTAAAAAAAAAAGAAAACTAATGAAAAGGGCTTGAAAACTTTGAGTTTTAATGATAAGGACAAAATAAAGGGTAAAGTGAATAGTACCAGGATTGACTTTTTAGTGTAAAAATATGATTTTTCGTTAAAGTGAACAGTACTTGATGTTTTTTGTTAAAATTTCCTTAAAAAAATTGATGACAAGCTACGATACCCGCTATCTCAATTTGATTATCATTACTTATTATGACGAGGGATCCTATGATGAGTTGTGTGTGTACTTTGTGTCCATGGCATCCATAATATTTTACTGATGATTTTTTTTGGGCCAATAATATTCTACTGGTGACGGAATCAACTACATCAGGCTCGTGGCTCTTGCATGAGCGACAGGTGTGCAAAACATGCGGTAAATATAATTTGTATTAAGTAATGATTAGGAACTAATTAATGATAAAATTATCAAAAACTAATGCAAGTCAATGTTTTTTTTTTGGTAAATAAAATATATTGATGAGAAAAAAAAAAGTACAAGCAGCAAAGAGTATTTGAAAAAACAAACACGCAACAAAGAGCTGCAGTTAAAAGAAAATAGACATCAAAGCAGCAAAAAAACACTAACTATTCATAGTTATATTCCATTCACGTAAAGTAGAGTCATTAGCAGCGGAATTAGTGATTTTCAAAGAACTCAATCGAAGTCTAATGGTGGACTTAATTGAGTTGAGAACCACTGTAGCGGGTTGACATGAGTTCTTGAATCTATAGTTGTTCTGTTCCCTCCAAACATAATACACTGTAACAACAAGACTTAACTTCAAAACTATCGAAGATAAAGATTTTCCCTTGCAACGACTAGTAGACCACATGACAAAAAGAGGCCAAGGAAGCCTTAGCCAAGAGACACCGCACTTGAATAGCACCAAAGACCAAATACCATCGGTAAAAGGACACTCAAAGAAGAGGTGGCAATGGGACTCCGTAACACTATAGCAGAGTACACAAATGACAGGAGTCGACAGAGCAAAAGTTAAAATTAT